CCAACTGTCCCCAAAGTGTCCCCACCTGTCCCCAAAGTGTCCCCAAAGTGTCCCCAACTGTCCCCAAAGTGTCCCCACCTGTCCCCAAAGTGTCCCCAACTGTCCCCAAAGTGTCCCCACCTGGCCACCTCCTTGGCCACGCTCCGGGTCAGCCCCTCCACCCCCCCCTTGGAGGCTGCGTAGTTGGTTTGGCCCAAATTCCCCACCTGGGGGTGAGGAGGGGACAATGACAGGGGGGAGGGGACACCCCTGGGTGTCCCCCAAATCCCCCCAAAATTGGTGGTTTGGGGGGTTTTATCCCCGTTTTTTGGGGTTTTGTCCCCGATTTTGGGGACGCTGAGGGTGACAGGTGACAGGGACAATGGGGGAGGGTCCCACCTTGGCCACCACGCTGCCCACGAGGACCAGGGACGCCCCCTCAGGGTCCCCTGAGGCCACCAAGGCCTTTGTCACCTCCTGTGTCACCAGGAACGTCCCCTGGGGGGGATATTGGGGACATCAGGGGGTGGCATCACCCCCCCAATGTCCCCAAACTGTCCCCAATGTCCCCCCAATGTCCCCAAAGTCCCCAATGTCCTCAAACTGTCCCCAATGTCCCCCCAATGTCCCCAAAGTGTCCCCAATGTCCCAAAATGTGTCCCAAACATCCCCAATGTCCCCAAACTGTCCCCAATGTCCCAAAATGTGTCCCCAATGTCCCCAAAGTGTCCCCAGATGTCCCCTCTGACCTCCAGGTTGACCCCCAGCACTTCCCGGAATTCCTGCTCTCCCATCTCCAGGAGGAGCCGGTCACGGGTGATCCCAGCACAGGACACCAGGACACGGGGGGGGACCCCAAAGTGCTCCTGGGGGGATATTTGTGAGGGATTTGGGTCAATTTTGGGTGGATTTGGATTTTTTTTTCCCCTTGCAACTTGGGGCCGTTTGGCTGCAATTTTCTGGGAATTTGGTGGGAATGGAATGGAATTTTGGGGGATTTGTGAGCTTTGGAAGTGATTTGGGGGTGGATTTGTGGGGATTTGGTTGGATTAGGGTCGATTTTGGGTGGTTTTCCTGTGATTCGGGGCTGTTTGGCCACGGTTTTCCGGAAATTTGGTTTGAATCACAAGGAAATTTGGGGGATTTGTGGGGAATTTGTGAGTTTTGGGGTTGATTCGTGGTGAATTGAGGAGAATTCGGGTCCATTTTGGGTGGATTCTGGTTTCCCTGTGCTTTGGGGTCGTTTGGTTGCGTTTTCCTGGGAATTTGGTGGGAATCCGATGGAATTTGGGGGAATTTGTGAATTCTGGGGGTGATTCTGGATAGATTTGGGAATTCTGGCGGTGACATTGCGCACATCGGAGGTCACTCACGGACACTGCACGACACTGGGGGGGGTGTGTGACACTATCGCGACATGTCGCGGTAGGGGTGGGGTGGGGGGTGGCGACGACATTACCTGCACCCCCCTCACCATCCCGGTCACGCTTTTGGGATCGGCAACGTCCACCTGGAAGGCTCCGTGGTCGGGGGGGGAGTGGCGGGGGAGTTCCTTCGCTGTCGCCGCCGCCCCCGACATGTCGCGATCGGCCACGGCCACGCGCGCTCCCTCGCGGGCCAGGCGGCCGCTCACGGCGCGGCCGATGCCGCTGGCGCCCCCTGGCGGCCCGGAGGACCAATGACTAACCAGTGGCATTGAGGTGAACAGAGACCCCTCCCTGGCGCCCCCTGGCGGCCCGGAGGACCAATGACTAACCAGTGGCATTGAGGTGAACAGAGACCCCTCCCTGGCGCCCCCTGGCGGCCCGGAGGACCAATGACTAACCAGTGGCATTGAGGTGAACAGAGACTCCTCCCTGGCGCCCCCCGGCGCTTCGGAGGACTGATCACCGCCCCGGGGGCCACAGAGGTGACAGTGGGGACCAGTTTAATCGATGAACCCCCAGTGTCACCGATGACCCCTCCAGAGTCACCTTTAACCCCTCCCACTATCACCCGTGGAGTCTGGGACCCTCCCACTATCACCACTGCCATCTTTACCTCCCCCCCCGTCCCCCCCACCCCAATTCCCCCTCCGCTCCCCTCGTGGGGGTCTCCCCTGCCCTTCCGGTCCGCAAAAACCCTCCAAACCCACCCCCTTAAAAACCCACCCGTGACCAGCGCCACGACCCCCGCCAGCCGCCCCGCCGACCTCCCCAACATGGCGGCGCCGGAAGTGACCACCGAGACCGGCGGGGTGCACCGCGCCGCTCCGCCCACACCAACTCTATGATCAGTCCTCCAGCCGGAGGTTTTCCTGCTTTTCCAGTTTTTTTTTTTTCCCAACCCTTTTCCCTGATTTTTCACCCTAAACAATCGAATTCCCTCGTGACATCCCAAGTTCATGGATTTCACGCGCTTTTTTTTAAAAAGTTTTAATAAAACCTCCTCCAGGTTTGAAGCCACGAGTGGGGTGAAAATGCTGTTTTTCAAAAGAGAGGTTTAGCTCATGTTAATGAGATTTAATCCAAATTTAAGGGGGGTTTTTAGGCTGTAGAGGGGCCAGGAGGGTCAGAGGAGTGTCCCCACATATTTTGGAGCGCCCAGCACCCCCTCAAAAAACCCAGGAAGCAAAAAATTCGAAGCCCCTGCCAGGCAAAAAACCCCATGGATTTGGGAGCGATTTCACCCAATTTAAGGGGGGGTTTTGGGGTGCTGGGGGGCTGAGGAGGGCCAGGTGGGTCCCCCCAAAATTTCAGGGCGGAGGGAGGGGTCAGGGCTTGCCCTGCAGCTCCTGCTGGAGCCTCCCCAGCACCTCCCTCTGCTGCTCCGAGCGTCGCTCCAGCTCCTGCATCTGCTGCTCATAGCGTTTCCTGGGGGGGAGAAAAGTGAAATTTTGGGGTGAAAAAGGGCGATTTTGGGGTTCTAAACACCCAGGTAAATGGGAGGGCACCCACATTTCTGCTGTGATGTATTCCAGGCGTTTCCCCACCGTGGCTTTGGCCTCTTCCAGGTCCTGCCTGACCAGGACGGGGCCCAGGAGCTTGAAGATGGTGTTGGACGAGTCCAGCAGGGTCAGCTCCTGCAGAATTTGGGGGGCACAGGCGGTATTGGGGGGACATAGAGAGATATTGG